GTAAATTTATCAGATTATCTTGAAGATAGCAGTTAAATTCAGTTTTATAAATATACAGTTTTGCCTGATTTTCAGTTATAATCAATATATATAAGTTCTGTTTCAAAGTTAGTATTATAGTTCTATATAATATAAAGCATTATCAAAGATCATTACTTATTAGAGAATTGTATTTCACTATCTTTATATCTTTAACATCTACTTATTCAAATCTCTGATAGTTAGTATTATAGTAGTCTTAGACTAATTTAATATATAAGTCTCATTTCTTCTCTGTTCAATCTTGAGAAGTGTAGATATTAATTTAGTAGAAGAAATCTAGTAGAGCTACTATAGTATAGTACTCTGTAAAAGATTGTTCAGTTTTACTATAGTAATATATAAGTTTATTTCTTACAGTAATAATAGCCTGCATTATAGTATTATTTCAGACTGAATTTCTTTTTAAGTAATTTAACTGCTTCTTAAGATAAGTAAATAAACTGTTATACACTTATTAGTAGACTGACTGTGTGACCGTGTCTGAGATCAGAATTAAACTTTACAGTTATTACATTATCTAAAAGTATTACTTCTGATCATAGTTTGTGTTTATTACATTGATTTCAAATCACATTATTTTAAATATTAAAGATCTCAGATTTACTTTTCAAATAAAAATCTAGTTTCAGATAAAGAATATATTTGAATTCTTAGTCACATTTTCATTCTGATTCTATTATTAAGAATGATATTAAATAAGATTATAAAATCATTTCTCACTTATATAATATCATAATATAGTACTCATTTATTGAAAATTCAATAGAAAGTGTTATTAAATATCATTACTTTTCTAAACACAGATTATAATTTATATAATTTTAATTTTTTAATTATAAAAAAAATATAAAATATAAAAAAAAACTAAAAAACTAAAAATAAAATAAAAATAAAAAAAATTACAATGAAATAAAAGAAAAAGAAAAGAAAAAAATAAAAGAAAAAGAAAAAAAGAAAAAAGAAAAATAAAAAAAATCAAGATTACAGAGCTGTAGTATTTTTAAAATACTCACTTCTCAGAGTTTTTACAATATTCATTATCAACTATATATTTTTTACAGTGAGAATAACACAGCTGTAATAAGTTATTATCTTAATATCATCTAATAAATAATCAGTATATATCTGTATAAATGTGAATAATTAGAAAATATACACTTAAAAAGTTATGATCAGAGTGAACTCTGCTATCACTTGAATAATATTAAGAGTAGAATACTGAAATTAATAATTCTTCTCATCAATTTCATGAATAAGATATGTAAAGATAGTCTTGAGAAATATAAGATCTCTTAACTTCTAATAAAAATGAATCTCACAGAGAGACTCTATTTTCATAATATTAAAGACTGAGTGTTATTAAAAAGTGTTACTTTTATATAATATATATACACTTACTATAGTGATTCACTTTCTATATATATAACTGAGAGTTATAGCTTTTTCACACTGCATAGCTCTCTCTGAGATACTGCTGCTGATTTATAACTTATACAGTCTCTTAATTCAGTACACACTGTATATATACAGTTCTGTGTACTAAGACTGTATTAATTATTATAATCTGATGTAATACTTGCTTTTCACAGATTATATTTCATTTGAGAAGAGAAGAGAGAAAGATACAACTGTTATTTTATTAAGAGAGAATAAATAATTAATATTAGTAAATATAATTTAATTCTTCTGTATTTAAAATTTGATTAGTCTATACTCTTCAATTTAAGAGTTTCTAAGAGTGTTTTAATAGTTTTCATACCAGTTTAAACTTAGTAATGAGTTGAAGAAGAAGAGAAAAGAGAGAAGAAAGAAATGAGAATAACTTATCTTTATAATATAAAAATAGAGAATTGCTGTAATTATTTATTCTAGTAATAAAGATCTGTTTTCTGTATGTATTTCTGATATAGATTATATAATAACTGTATATAAAGAATATCAACAGTGTATATATTGAATGAAGATAATATTACTATATAATACTGTAGCTGTTTCTGTACATCTCTGAAAGCTGTTAATATTTTCTTTAAGTCTCTTTATATTTAATAAGTCAGTAATATATTTTAATACACTCTCTCTTTCATCATTATTATTATCATTATCATTATTATTATTATTATTATCATTATCATTACTATTACTATTATTATTATTATTATTATCATTATTATTATCACTATTATTATTATTATTATATTATTACTGACTGTCTTCTCTGCTTTTACTCTCTTTTAATACTTATTAAAATTAATTATATTATCTCTCTTCAAATATTCTGCAGTTCTGCAGATTATCAAGATATATAAGTACTATCACAGATTAAAGAGAGAGAAGAAGAAGATGTTTAAGTAAGAGAAGATAAATTATAAGACATATTATAATATCTTGAAAAGACTCTGTAAGAGAGTAGAATAATAATGATTTTAAGTAACACTTCTGATAGATTTAGACTGAACTAAGTATAGAAATAATACAGATAACACTGTCTGTGAGAGATTGAAAAAGAAGATAGTAAAGAGTCTTATATAGTAGTGATGAGATTAGAAGAAGTTCTGAGAATAAGTTAAGATCAAGATAAAGAGAGAAAGAGAGAAGAAGAGTATTACTATAAATAAGTAATAGTAGAAGAAGATTAAGAGAGTGTTAAAGTAGAAGATAAAGAAGTTAAAACTGATAAGTTTTTTATTTATTAAGAGATAATAATTTTTGATAATACTTCTATTCTCTAATTAATTAGTAGAAGCTGATAGAGAAGAAGAAAATTATAATCTTATTCAGATCTCAAATATACTTTATAATTCAGAATATTGAGAAGATAGCTCTACTCTCTGAGTATATCAATCTGCTTATCACTGAAGTGAAATCTGAGACAGCAGACTAGAAAATGCAGGATTTTGAGATATAGATTAATCTAGTTGA